TGCAACGGAAATGAATATTGTGATATGAGCTTCGAAGACTACATGAAGCTGAAAGATAATCCTCCACCTTGCTATTTTACAAAGAAGGCAATCCATCGATATGAGATGTGATTGGAAAATGTATCAAATAGGATTAGACGTATCAGGCAAAAGCATAAGGTGCAAAGTAATGTAAACACTACGCCTAACAAGCCTCACTATATTTATAACCAGCAAAAAAATATTTGTATAAACAATACTTTCTTAATTCCTTCTTCTTTTCCGAAAAAGCCTGTCCAATATTAGAGTTACTATTCCCAAAGAGAATTTTGGATGGATAAACCACATTCATTGACTCCTCCTCCTTTGCCACCAAAGCCTTTCGCATTAATTCAGCATAATGCAAGTGCGTCTGAACTGAAGTATTTCTCAGATTATAGAACACAATTTTATACTAGACCCATTCCTCCAAAAGGTCCTAGACCACGAACATGATATCTCAATTCTGTACGTAAAAATAGATCTATATAGGGAAATGTATTATATTTACCTGCCAATGCATGAAGGCATGTGCGACATAAATTAGCACGTTTTCGATCCTCGTTAAAATATATATATGATGTAATGTTGAGATCTTCAATGCACATTCCACATGCCATTAATCACAAACACAGGCGTAAAGTGCCTTGCATATTCTCCTATCTCTTTCCCAATATGATTGTAAACCTAGAGGGGGATCATTTATTATGCTTTTACATTATTTTTTTTTACTTCGCTTAACAGAGCTTTCACTAACATTTAACTTTTACTCTATTAAAACATGAAAGAATTTCTTTTAACAAGAGAATCCCTTGATATTGTCAGAATCTCTACAGCATTATTTATACGAGTAGAGCAGGGCGAATGGACAGGCGTTCTTGAAAAAGAGGTAAAGAACTTTGAAAATGTTCTGAAACGAGTATTAGAACAAGTCTCTTCAGAGGATATTGAGCGGATAAAGAAGCTTCGAAGTTTTGGTACTGGAAAAAAATTGGCAAAACGGGTAAGGGCAATAAACTATTTTCATAAAGAATAGGTGGATATGATGTATTTTTTAGGTTTTCTTGCATATGTATATATTAGTGAATGCGCTGTGTCCGTTGTGATGCTATCACTTCTGCATGGCAGTAACTAATTATATATATGCCCAGCGAGCGCGCATTTTGGCTGACTTACTGCTAGCATTTTGATATTTTTTTTATGAAAACGAAAACCTAATCTGATCCTGCGCAGGGTATATTTATTTTAATTTATCAAAATAACATTAAGCTTAAGTTAAGTTAACTATATTTAGGTGACAACTGCATTCGAAGATTTATGCTCCCTCACAGGGATGAAAGCTCTGGTGATTGATGTTGAAACATAGCCTGATTATGCGAACGCAAATTTAGAGCTTTTAATACGTGATGTTGATCAACTCAAAAGTAAAAGTATTGGCTATGAAAAAACTATGTGGGAGAGGATTGGAATGGAATTAGAGAAAGTAGATGTCAAAAGTCTTGGATTCGATCATCCAATATGTTCTGGAGTCCTTGATATCAAATCGGAACCTTTCACAAAGATGCCTGGGTCATTTTGCGATATTTTTAAGGAACCTTTCGAGAAATACAAGCTAGATCATAATGATATAATAATGGATACTTGTAGAGAAATAATTCATAATGAGGAGTCGAAGATAAATTTGGATGGAGATTTGAGTAATGTTGAATTTGGGAAATGGCTAGATAGTTCTGAGAGGCTTCAAGAAATGGCAAGACGGATACTAGAATCTTTGTAAGTTCACTTAAGTTTTACCCCTGCTTTTTTTATATATGTTAGCTTACAGCATAATGAAAATATGTGGGATCTTTATAGGTTTAAAGTCTAGAAGTCACCTAAGTATGAAGCTATACAAAGAAAGGGAAATCAGTTAACGAAGGGTTGTATGTCTGTGAAGTACTTGCGCCATTAATAAATATAGTAATGAGTGAATTGCCTGGAAATCCTGCTGTATGGGATATATGGCAAGTACTACTTCTAGTATTAGCTATGTAATGATCTTGTAGAGCTGTTTTTTTTTTCTTATTTAATGATTTTTTTTTAAATAGGGGTGAAGAGGGAAGTTCGGCTAGCACTATACGAAAAGGATCTCGTAAATATGCACAAAAACCTGATTATATGACTGTAGTCCAACTAGAGAAAGATGCGAAGCTTGAAATTGTATATCTCGAAACTGGCAGACCAGATTCCAGTCAAGACAAGCGCCAGCGAGACCATAAAAAATTAATCCGATTTTCTAAAGATTCTATCGACTCTACCAGAAAAATATCAAAGCTTAAGAGGGTATTTAATATTTCATCTAAGAGGCGGATATTATCTATATTTTCTATAAACATTGCGGGCGATGTTATGGAACTTTATGCTATGCGTAGAGAATCGGGTATTTACAAGTACTGCCTAATAGAGGAAGCACCGATTCCGTTACATATGACTTCACCAAGTGCCATATACCAGCTTATCCATTCTTTAATGACGTTAAGAATGGCTGTCACATGTACAATCCATAAGATATTATATGATTCCTATTCCGGAGATAGTGAGCATAGTTCTGGCGAGATGGCAGTAACAGTTTCGACTCCTAAAAATTAATAGAAATTTCATACATGTATTTTTATATTATTAATAAAGCGGTATATATTAAAATTTGGATGACGGGTTTGATCATTCCTGTCGCTGAAATTTCAGTCTTATGAAAATCATATGATTTTTTTGAATATTAATATACTAATACTACATTACGCAAGCATGTAATCTGAAATAGATAGTTCTGGGCCGGGAGGCGCGTTGCATGAGACTAATTCGTATTAGCTTACACCCCTCTCTTGTCCGGCGGGAGATTATCCTGAAATCTGTGATTAAGAAAGGCTTCTGCAGGAGAAAGCCTAGCCGAATCTAGTGAGAAAAAAGGGGTAAAATATTGGTTACTTTTTTTCTGCGAATTCCACCATTTCTTGACCATGAACCATATAATCGCAATAAGTACTAGGGTAAGTATAGAATATATTAACATAGGTGATATCAAGGAGTTTGTGATAATAGAAGCAGTTGCTGGTAAAGATATCACTTCTGCGCCACCTACAGAAATTATTTGAGACGATGGATTAAGAGAGGAAGGTTGGCCAGAGCCAGAGGGGTTCTTCGAATCAGGCGCTATACATGATGAATTATTCATAGGCGATGGTGGATGATCTACTTCATTATTTTTCTTTAACGCTAACTGCTCCTTGAGGGACCTATTTACCTCTATTAAATTTGACCGTGCTGAAAATAAAGAATCTATCGTCTGATTATATATGTTTTTTGAGGACTCTATTCCCTTTTCCATACATTCTATTTCGTATTTTTTCGAGGATAAATCATCCCTCACTTGCTCCAATTCAAGCCTAAGTGAATCAATCTCTTTAGGATCAGATAAGTTTATTTGGGCCGGCTCTTCTAAAAGTCCTCCCACTGCATCCGAATCATGAAATGCTTGTTCTAGTTTCAAGTCATCCAACTCCCCTTTCAATTCACGTATTTTAGTTTCAAGAGAAAGAATCTGGACCATGTCAGTGGACGAAGCTTTCTGGGCTAAAGTTGCCTCTCTCTTTAGCGTTTTAATATTTGATTTGAGCGATTTGACTTCGGCTTCGAGTTCAATACGAGACCTCCGTTCAGAAATAAATTTGGATTTAAGTTCAGTACTGGACACATTTAACTGACTAGCTTTATTTCCCATATCAGCACAAATTCGCTGGAACTCCTCCTCTCGCTCCGAATACTCTGAATTTTTAGCCAACAACTTTTCACAAAGATCATTAATTTCGGCTTTAGAACTAAGAGTGGTATACAATTTTTTTTCGAGCTCTTGCTCATACGTACTACCAAGTCGATGACCTTTATTATTAATATCTTTCAAAGTATATACATTGGTCATAGCTTTTTTTTTTTCAGCTTAACTATTAGTATAGTAAAAAAGAATATGAGTGAAATTTTTATCCTATATATTCGGAATGATACATGCTTTCTATATATCCCATACATCTTATTTATCCGAAATTATTTTTATCTATATCCTATTTATCCTATTTATTCGGAATATTTCCTTCCTGTATATCATATATATTTGCTATAATATATTTTTCTTGTATATCCTGTATATCCTGTATATCCTATTTAATAAAATATTTCAGAATATTATATATTAGATATAAAAAAAAAATATTACTACCATGCTTAGACTACGCATGAGATGTGATGCCCCTCCTTTTTCGCCAGCTGATTATGATTTTATTATGCAACGTCGTGATGATAGGCCAAGGTCTAAAGTTTTAAATGAACTAAAAGAAAAATATAACACATCACAAAAACGCATTTATCAGATCTGGAGAGGTGAAGAAAAAAATAGGGTTGCGTGGGATCAACCAATTTACATGCCTATAGTTGGTCCTGAAGGGACCGCTTCGCTTTCTAGTACCATAGATAAACAGAATGATACATATTTTCAAAATAAATACAATTCTACTATTTTAGCACTGGAAAATATAGGACACAATGCTGGGGTAGAGTCTAGCAAATCTACTAATCTGCCTTCAGAAGAAGGTATTATTTTAGGTAATAAAACGAAAAAGGCTGGAGGAAAGAAACCCAAATCCAAATCCGTTAGAATCTCTGAACCATCTATTACCCAGAATCAACCAACGTCTACAAACCCAGAGGGTTCTGAAGGTTTAAATATTAGCAGAGAGGATCTGAATGCATTTTATGGAAAAGAAGCTAAGAGAGACGAAAAAATTAAAGCAGAGGTGAATAGGCGTCTAGCCGTGTAGAAGATATTTCCCATTTAATTTATCATAGCATACTAATAATTTCTCACACAATTCGTTAAGATCCTCTTTAGACTTAAGAGTGAAAAATAACATTTTTTCAAGCTCTTCATAACTCACTTTTTTTTAAATGCATCATTATTCTCACTTGACGTTAAGGCGCTTCGCAAGTCTTGCTCCTTTCCTATAGTAAAAACATTACGCTGAGATTTGTGAACTGATAGGGGGATAGTGATAGTTTTTCCATTTCGGCTTACCCTAAATTCTCCCTTTACTAGAGGTTCCCATCCTGCCCGATATTGCCATTGTGTTCCAAGAATAAATAGGGATAATTCTTTCCCATTATCATCATATTCCGTAGGGACGACAGAGAATTCATCTGGAATAGTATCTCTATTTTTCCCATCCTCAATAGTTACAGGAACACTATCAACTGTACCAAGAGAATGGGATTTACTAGCGACTCCATTAAGCCTATGAACCTTCTTCCTATCTATTTTAAGCTCCAAATGCTTTGCGATATTTTCTGAGATTATTGACGAGTCTGATCCACTATCAATCATTGCATATGGGATAGTCACGCCTCCTACTTTACAGGAGATAGTCGCAACATCATCGGCATCCTTTATCTGGAGAAAATTTATCTCTAACGGCTTAGGCCAGTATATAGGAATTAGCCGGGAGGTATCTTGCATGTCACTTTTTTTTTCAGC